GTAACGTCCCCCCAGTCTAGACAGGGTCCCAGTCAGAAAATTCTTGTGCCTTGTCTCCTTCACCAGCTCACCTTCCACCTTCTCAGCAAAGCCTAGCCCTCTCCCCCAATTCCACTCTCAGCCGATTTATATAAGAACTTCCTAACAACTTTGAGCTGCCCAACACCAGAGCAGGTTGCCTCCTCCAAAGGTAGTGAGCTCTTCATCACTGGAGTATTCAAGCAGACCAAGATCGTAGAGAAGCTTCCAATAGTGTTTGGACGGATCTTCCCACTCTTTCAGGTCTTTTTAAAATCTAGGTTCTCATTTGACTCGGGAGAGGTCTTAGGGGTAGGAGGAGCAGGTGGGCGGATAGCTGGGGTTCAAAGGCTGGCCAGAACCAAGCAGCATCACAGAGGAGGCTGCAAATTCCTCTCCTTGGAAACTCCCCAATGCCAGGTCTACAGGGGAGCAGCCTAAAGCTACTTCTGTTGTCTCAGCATCCTGCCTCCTTGGTTCTCCTCCTCCTGCTCCCCTCCCCCCTCCTCCTCCCCTCTTCCTCCTGCTCCTCCTCCTGCTGCTGCTCCTCCTCCTCTTCCTTCCCTCCTCCTCCTGTGCTGTTCTTTCTTTTCCTCCTCAATTCATTAACTATGTATGTTCCATTCAGGCACAGAACCATGAGGACACTTGGGTGGCTTGCTGACCTGCTAAAAACCTCCTTCCTCACCATCCTCTCAGGAAAGGAGGCTCACGTGGAAGCTCTTCCATCCACACCCTCGATCACTGAAGGTTTGGGACCTCCCAGCCAAGCAGCCTAGAATCCTGCCTTTCTGGGGAAAGTGTTTGCTGACGTGCTCAGAAGTGGCTGCTGAGGCTGGAGAGGAGGTGCCGTGCATAAGGAGCTGGACTGTGCTACCCACGGAGAGTCACAATGTCACCAACACTGCCACCCTGCCCCCACACAAATGAGCCTAACGACTTATCTTGTCACTCAGGAAGATCAGCGCCTAAGTCGGTAGCAGCGCCCGAGCCCGGGGCCACTCAACGAATATTTCCACAGCCAACATACATAGAGGCTTACAAAAGGGTTTAGATGTGTTATCTCATTTGATGCTCAGAACAATTTTATGAGTTAGAGAAACTGAGGCTGGGTCTGTCCCAGCAGGATTGGAATGCAGGAGTTCCCTGATTCTGGACTCATTCCATCACCTGCCTCTCAGGATCAATCCCACACATTCTTAAACACACCAACATCCTTTTTTTTTTTTTACCAACTTTCTGGATGTGGGCCTCTTGTGACTTCTAACGAAGCTGCTGCTCTGAGCAGATGAAGTCTGAAGGCCCTCAGGGCCAGACTCCCTCCGGGGTGAGGGGGTCAGTTAGGGAGGAGACCAGGCTGAAGCTCCCACACTGTGACTGATCTCCTTTGCCTGGCCTGGAGCAGAGAAGGGTCACTAAGCTCCATTCTCAGGTAAGTGCTCGAAGGGGACCCTGGGCAGTTCCTCTCTTTGGCCCCAGAGGGCTTGACAAGATGAGATGGACTGGCATTGATGAAAGGCCCTCATCAGATGTAAGGAAGAACCATGTTACTCTTGTGGGGAAAGGAGACACTCAAGTCTAGGGATGGGCAGCTGAGGTTAGAATCCCTAGAGATTCTAGGTGCTTCCAACTGGCCAGAGGCAGGGGCTACCCCCCATGGCCTCTGATGCCCCTCCAGCACAAGAGCCTCTCTAAGCCTAGGGAGAGGATGCCTTGATTCGTAACATGTACATAAATGCTGAGCAGGACCTGGTGAGTTAGCTTTGAAAAAAAAGACAACACAGGGAAGAAAATGCCAATGAGTGAAACACGTGTGGCTCTCTTCTCTCTCTCTCTCTCTCTCTCTCTCTCTCTCTCTCTCTCTCTCTCTCTCTCTCTCTCTCTCTTTCTCTCCTCTCTCTCTCTGTCTCTGTCTCTGTCTCTCTCCTCTCTGTCTCTCTCTCTCTGTCTCTCTCTCTCTCTGTCTCTCTCTCTCTGTCTCTCTCTCTCTCTCTCTCCCTCTCTCTCTGTCTCTCTCTCTCTCTCTCTCTCTCTCTGTCTCTCTCCTCTCTCTCTCTCTCTCTCTCTCTCTCTCTCTCTCTCTCTCTTTCTCTCCTCTCTCTCTCTGTCTCTGTCTGTCTCTCTCCTCTCTGTCTCTCTCTCTCTGTCTCTCTCTCTCTCTGTCTCTCTCTCTCTGTCTCTCTCCTCTCTCTCTCTCTCCCTCTTCTCTCTGTCTCTCTCTCTCTCTCTCTCTCTGTCTCTCTCCTCTCTGTCTCTCTCTCTTTCTCTCCTTCTCTGTCTCTGTCTCTTTCTTTCTCTCTCTCTTTCTCCCTGTGTTTCTCTCTGTTTCTCTCTCTCTGTCTCTCTTTTTCTCTCTCCCTCTCTCTGTCTCTGTCTCCCTCTCTCTCTCTCTCTGTCTCTCTCTGTCTCTCTCTCTCTGTCTCTGTCTCTCTGTCTCTGTCTCTCTGTCTCTCTCCTCTCTCTGTCTCTCTCTCTCTCTCTCTCTCTCACACACACACACAACACACACACCACACACACACACACACACACACACACACACAGTCTCACTCTCTCTTCCTTGTTATACACATAGGAGAAACAGCTGTGAGGAAGCTGAGCTTCCGCCCTGTGCCCCTCCCCCAGCGGGCAGCGTCCCAGGCCCACTTCCAGACCATCCCCAGGTCGATGGACGGCACACTTTGGTTCCTTAGCAAGGCGAGGCCCGAGGGCTTCCTGGAGGAGGAGGAGCTCCAGGCAGACCCTCTCAGTGTGTACAGTTCACCAGGCAGGGCAGAGCTGCAGGTCCTGCTGCTTCCCCGGGACCCTAAGAATGGGGAGTTCTGCCTTTCTCCATGAATAGGGAAGAATGTAAGCCCCTTGAGGTCAGGGACTACTTTGTTTTTGTCTTCGGCTCTCCGGGGCTTAGCTCTCAGTGGGCGCTTCATCTGAGCTTGTCAGAAGTCTGAGGGACCCTCGGAGACAGCTCCGCCAGGAAGATGTCCTGGAGTCACACACGTGCGGGAGCCCCGCCTCTCTCTTCTGACCTGCTGCCCTTCCCGTGCGGGACTTTCTGAGTCTTGAAGATGCACGTTCGAGGAGTGGTCATTGGCCAAAGTGCGCCTTTCTACACAGAATGAATGGGCCTGCAATTCACTCGGTGGGCCCATCCCGCAGCCCCTCTGGGCTCCCTGGCTCAGGAAGATCGGCCAGTCCCAGATCCTCGGACAGGACAAGACAGGAGACACCAGGTGCCGCTGGCCGTTTCTTGAGTTTTCTGAACCAGCAAGGGGAGAGATGAAGGCGGGGTCACAGCATGACTGGGAGGCTTCCCAGGGAGGGAGATCTGGGTGGAGGAGAGACCAGAAGAAGCAGGAGGCCCTGACCGTGGCTGAGGGGCCCAAATGGCTGCTCAGGGTTACACTGGACAGGTCACTCATCCGTCCACTCAGCGAGGCCCACGCCCCTCCCGCAGGCCATCTGCGTCTCGGAGTACAGAACAGAGGGAAGGGGGCCTGGAGACGGAAGGATCCCCAGCAGCACCCCGGGGACCGGCATCACACGTGAATGTGCCGTCCTGAGCGATACTGAAGAGACGAGAGAAACTTGGGAGGACGCCGGCGGGCTGCTGCAGAGTGAAGTGGGCTGGGCCGGAAGAAAGAGGTCTCCAAGGACCACGATGACATAAGGAAAACGACACTGAAAGACATCGGCGGAATGATGGTCCCGACTCCAGCAGAGGGCTGGAGGTCTCCAGGGGAGGGCCTCAGGGATCTACGCACAGTTTTGTGCTGGTCAGCACTGTTATCAGCGACTTGGGCAAAGGAGTAGACGGCATCCTTATTAAGTCTGCAGATGACACAAAGCTGAGGGCAAGAGTGTGTGTCCACATACGTGTGTGCATGTATGTGTGTTGCCGGTGTGAGCATACATGTGCATGCATGTATGTGTGTGTGCATGTATGTGCACGTGTGCATATGCATATACGTGTGTGTGTGTCTGTGTCTATTGAGCTCTGTTGAGATACCAGCTTCCAGACGCCAACAGGACACCCGGGTGGTGCGTAGCGACGCTGGTCTGGTTGCCTCGCACCCGGGGGCACCGAGGGAGGCTTAGGCCCGTTAGGGGGACTGTGGCCTCTCCTGGAAGGATGTGCCCTGAGGAAGACGGCCAGGAGAGCGCAGGGCCTTCTGGGATGCATGGAAAGAATGGGCGCTGTTAGGCCAAGAGCAGATCTGACGGACACACGAGGGCAGACGGGAACTCGGCAGGCTCATGAAGGACCGGCAGGACAAGGCATGAGGGGAGAGATGCAGAGGTGCATCTCATGGCTCTTCTTAACAGCCAGAGCCGTCCAAAGTAGACTAGGCTGTTTTGTAAGGTAACTTACACTGGGGGTCTGCAAGGAGAGGCCAGATGACTGCTGGTGAGGAATGTTCTGGAGAGGATTCTCACTCAGGTTTGAACAAGACGAGTGCTGAGTTCCCTCCCAACCCGGAGATGGGATGGCTCTGGCCGTCCTGAACAAACCAGATGCCACAGTACAACAGTTCTTTGTTTGGCCACGAATGGGGAGAGATAACGGGGCAGGGTGGGCAACGCTGCCCCCTTTCAGAAGTCTGCAGGCAGTTGGGGAGCCGGGGAAGCAGGGCAGTCTCATGAGTGATCAGATGGGGTGCAAGCAGCCCATTTCTGAATAGCTTTCCACCGGACCAGAAGGTTTGTGGCATCCTCAGTCTTCCCCCACACAGATGAAGCAGACCAAACCTAGGCCTCCTCACCCTGGAGGAGGCATCCAGTCTTTGGCAGGCCATCAGACAGCCTGGGAACACCCCGGAATCAAACATCTCCTTCCCCGCAGAGGCTGATTGGCTCTCTGGGATCTGCCAGCACCGGGGGAACCCACCCTTGCCACCCTCTCCACATGTCCCTTTTTCCTATGTGTACACTCCAGAGCGGCCTGGGCAGGGAGGGGGTGGGCCTGGCACAGGCCTGGTACTCACAGGTAGATGCTTGATTCATTGCCTCCAATGTCCGGAGACTGAAGCTTCTGGACCAGGATAACGATGATGCCAATGAAGAGGACAAAGTTTATCTGAGGAAGAGAGAGGGAGAGAGAATGGAAGAAGCACCAGGCCTGCTCAGCCTCCTTTGATGTGGCAGGGTCTAGGGCATGCCCCTAACCGGGACATCCCCACAGCTCTGCCCCGAGCCCTCGCTGGCTTCATACACTTCCCCTTCTTATCAACACGCATGTACAGTTCTAAAGTATGTACATGTTTCCCCCCCACAATCCACTCTGTGCAGACGATGCCCAGACCTCCAGAGGCAGCCCTCGCCTCCTTCCCGGGCTCAGGTCCTACATCACCAACCATCCAGTGAGCAGTTCAGACAGACCCAAAACAACAGAGAGTCTTTCCCTCCAAATCCTCCCATCTTCCGAACATCCCTGCTATTGTCAAGGGCACCACCACCCACCTGGTCACCCCAAGACTCTGGCTTGTCCCTCTCCCACGGCCATCTCTGCCTCGGGGCTGAGCTGGCCTGACGCCAGGCTTCCAGTCCTCCCCTCCCACTCGGCTAACCAACCATCCACAGTGGGTGCGCCAACCCCCCTCTCCTTTTACTCTGGGTTTGAAATCAAACTAATACCACTATTGCTTCTTGAAAAGGCATGTCAATGGTATGCCTACGACTGCTCTCACCACCTCTGTGATTTCTCAAAAAAGAAAAAATCCCAATTCTTTTCTCTGTCTGCCTTTCCTCTAAATGTGATGTTAAAATGTAAGCTTCTCAAGGGCAGGCCTGACTTTTTACTGTTTCCCCTGCATTTAGCACAGGGCTGGGCACATAGTAGGTGCTTCATAAGTGATCTTTACTCATTCAGTCTTTCCTGCTCCCCAAATATCTGCCCAGCTGCAGCATCTTGTCATTTCTCCTAAAACAATCAGACTGATTCTGTATCATTGGTGATCGACTCTCCCTACAATTCATTGATCTTGTCCTGGGACTTCCTGAGTCATGGTTTTTAGTCCTGAACCAAGCTCAGAATTCAGCTGGCCTGTGCCAGGCTCATCATCGTTCCATTCTTGCCTCAAGGAGGCCGGCTGTCCTTGGGGGAAGCGGGCAGGCGCCAGGGGGCTGGTCCAGTATCTTTGCCCCACCGAGCCGTCCTTCAAGGACGCCGCCAGAAATCTAAAGGGCAAGGCGCAGCCTTTGGTGGCTACAAAGCCAGGACTGCTTATGTGCCTCACCTGGACGGGCCCCTTTGGACCCCAGCCCTGGCCCTGGCCCTGCTGGACCTGCCCCTCCTTCTTCCCCCACCCCTCCCCCAGCCCACTCTCCACTGGGATCACTCACCATTATGGAGCCCACCACTGGGCCTTTGATGACCCACCACAGGGCTGTGTTGTCGTTCATTTCCCAGCAGCTAGAGAGAGACAGAGAGACACAGAGAGACACAGAGAGAGAAACAGAGACAGAGAGACAGAGAGAGAGACAGACAGAGACAGAGAGAAACAGAGACAGAGATAGAGAGACAGAGAGACAGAGATAGAGAAATAGAGAGAGACAGAGAAACAGAGGAAGACAGAGATAGAGAGACAGAGAGACAGAGAGAGAAACAGAAGCAGATAGAGACAGGAGACAGAGACAGAGAAAGACAAGAGACAAAGACAGAGACAGAGAGACAGAGACAGAGAGAGTCAGAGACTGAGATGGAGCCCTGCAGTTCAGGTGGAGGGCAGGAGGAAGGTTTGTCCCTCTCTGGGAGGCTCTGTCCCCCGGCCCTTCTGCCCTCTCACCCCCGGGGGCCAAGCTGCTCCCCAAGATAACCTTACAGAAGAACCCAGGCTCAGGTGGGAGGGGACAAACGCATCTCTTCAGAAGCCTGGAAAGCCTCAGCCCTAGTGCTGGTCCTGGTTCTGGGCTCACCTCTTGTCCTTGTGGCCTCCCTTTCCCTTCTCAGCAACAAGAGTCCTGACCCTAACCCTGCCTCTCTCTCGCAAGGTCCAGGTCACCCCACAGACCCCAGGGTGAGTCCTCCACCCTCCAGGACATCTCCCTGGGGACTCTCAGTTGTCCCAGGACCCCGAGTTTATTGATAAGCCCATGGAGGCAGGTCCAGGTGGGAAGGAGGCTCAGGCTGCTGGGCTAGGGTTGCAGAGGCCAAGTTGTTTCTGGGAGATGCTCTTCTTGCACTGAGGACTCCCAGCCCCACCCTCTAGCCTGACTGGACCCCCTGGTGGATCTGGTTGTAGCAGGGGGGCTCGGGGAGCAGGGCTAGGTAGTGACCAGGCGGAAGGGTCAGTCTGTGGCTGGAGAACATGTGTTACCTGCTGGAGGGATACAGGCACACTTACCCGTTGTCATCAAAGTGAATCCTTAGCACTGCCCAGACTGTCACACAAATGGTTGGGGGTGCCTGTGGGAACACAGCAAAGAGAGAAGGGTTTGTGAGCTCAGGAAACCTTCCATGAGCTTGCAGTCCCTGCCAACACCCTCACCCTTATCCCTTCTCTGCCCTTTCCCCCTCCCTTCTCCTTCTCCCTTCCCTCTCCTCTCCCCCTCCCTTCTCCTTCCCCCTCCCCTCTCCTCTCTCCTTCCCTTCCCTTTCTCCACTCCCCATCTATCCCCCTTCCTTCTCCTCTTCCCTCCCTCCCTCTCCTCCTCCCTTCCCTCTCTTCTCCCTCCCTCTTCCTTCTTTGTCTCCTCTCCTCTCTCCCCTCCCTCTCTTCTCCTCTCCCCCCTTTTCCTTCCCTCTCCTCTCCCCCTCCCTTCTCTCCCCTTCCCCTCTCCTCTCTCCTTCCCTTCCCTTTCTCCTCTCCCCATCTATCCCCCTTCCCTTCTCCCTCCCCCATCCCCCTACCTACCCCAGCCGATGATGCTGTACCAGTAGAAGTATCTCCGCTCTGGGAAGAAGGTCTCGACCAGGAGGGTGAAGAGGTAGAGCCCTTCGATGAAGAGCCAGAAGTAGTTGGACATGACGCAGTAATGGAAGAAGACCATCACGGCTTTGCACTCCACCTGTGGGCGGATGGGGGAAACTGAGGCACTGCTTCTGGGGCCCCTCGAGCCAGGTCTGGCCTCAGGGTTTCTGGGCCTCCTCTCTCTCTCTAGGAGGTAAGGGCCTGGCTTGCTGAGCCCTGTCCCCTTTGGTTCCTGGTTAGGCATAAGCCCTCCTTCCCCAGGGCCTCCCTTGGCAGGTACCCTGGATCCTGGCCCTTGCTCCTCCCCTAGCGGGGCAGGGCCTGGGCTGAGGCTGGCCCCCCCCCCCCCCCCCCCCCGCCTTTCTCCCTCCGTCCCTCGGGCCTTGGCTTCCACTCACTGTGGAGATGAAGCAATGGTTGGTGTCCTGCTCCTCGTACAGTATCCAGTCCTTGATGAAGACCGATATCGCCCGCAGGATGAAGGAGACGAAGAGATTCATGTGGATGAAGTTCCGGGTACAGTGTAGCTTCCTGGGGGACAGAGGACAAGGAGCAAAGGAATGGGACTGGAAGCACCCTCAGAGCCGCCTGTCAGGCACCGAGTCTGGGAGCTCCACCTTTGCTCACGCTGTTCCCCCTGCCTGGAGCACCCTCCTCCTGCCTCGGCACTCCTCCGGCTTAGCCTCCGGAGCCTGTGGACGTGTCCTTGGGGAGAAGACGCCTCAGACATCAGACACATCTCATCACTGACCCTTGCCCTCATCTCCACACTCGATGCTCCACTCGGAAGCCCCGGACAGACAAGACCAGTGGCGTGTCATGAACCCACACGTTACACAAGAGACGCTGTGGAGCCCGGACCTGTTCTTGAGCCACGGGAGCCCCAGAACACTAAGCCTCCGAGGACCTGCCTCAGTCCTAGGAGCGTCTCTGCCAAATCTCCCTCAGACCCTCCCAGACCAAGAGGAGGCTGACCTTGTCCAAGTCTGTGACCCCAGCTACACGCCACCTCTGAGGCTCCTCACACCCGGTGCCGGCTCCCGGGTCAGAGCCGTGTCCTGCTCCCCTGACCCGCCCTGACTCTCCCGGTGCGAGACGTCACGCCTTCCTGACATGATGGTGGCCCAGAGTCGCATGTCCCCCACATCTGGACTCATTCCACTCCCAGGTGGGGTTCGCCTCTCTTCTTTTTCAGCTCCCGTCTTCTGAGCTGTATCCCTCCCTTCAGGGAAGGAATGGCCCCTGTCCGTCTCTCCATGGTTCTCCTGCATGCCAGCTGTGGTGGGCGCTGCTCCTGCTTCAGGTCTCCGAGGGAGTCCTGAGGGGCACAGCGATTGGAGGGAGGACCCAGGAAGATTCCGCAGATTTCGCACATTGTAGAAGCATCCCGAGTGCGTCACGTGGCTCCAGGGGGCAGAGGTGCCCGAGAGGGGGAGGGCTCAGCCAGTGAAAGACTGGATGCTCCGTGGCCAGAGGGAGGTGGAGAAGATTCCTGTTCAGCCCAGGCTGGATTCAGGGGCCGCTGAGACCCCTCCCGCTCGCCAACTCTGAGACTGTGATCCCAGGTCCCAGAGGAGAGTATCAGGAGCTAAGTGGGACTGTGCTGCAGTCAGGAAGAGCCGAATTCAAATCCTACCTCAGACGGGTTCCAGTTAAGTGACCGAGCAAGTTGCTTATTACTCCCTCTCAGCCTGTTTTCTCGCCTGCAAAGTCGGGGTAACAAGAGGACTTCTCTCTTGTGAGGCTCAAATACAACAATACTGACCAGTGGGTGCTTTGCAAACCCTCACACGCACCACTTTGATCGGAGCTGGCACTAATTGGACGGAGCCGCTTCCCTTCCAGACCACGTCCTGAGGAGCCTTGGCCGCCGCCAGGCCACGTGAGCCAGCGCCACGGAGGTCCCAGCCTCAGTAGGAGCGCGTCAGCCACCGCCTGCGTCTGAGAGATTCTCTCTGACCCCGGCTCCCTGCCTGGGCTGCTGCTCAGCTGCAAGCGGGCTGTGACCACGCTTTTCTCAGCTGACCAAGACAGGATGTGCATCCTCCCACCCAAGATGGGTCTCCTGCCAGTCCAGTGTTCCAGCCTCAGAAATGGCGCCTGCAGTCTCCAGTGCTGGCCACGTTGGGTCCAAAGACCGACGGAAATTCTTTCTTGAATAGCCCCCTTTTGTTTTGCCCAGCGTGGATCAGAGCACTCCTCCCTTGCCATCTACTGCCTGTGTGACTCTGGGCATGGCCTTCTTCCTCCTTGGGGGGGGCGCCTCAGTTTCCTCATCTAGAAAATGGGCTGACCGAGGTTCTTTCCAGCTTTGGATCTGTGAGCCTCTTTCATCTACACCCAGTGACGAAGGCCACTCAACATGTGGGAGACGCCTACCGTTGGAACCCCGGAAGCTCTGGCGTTTGCTGCCGTTGCCCGGAGGACTCAATCCCCGCAATCCTGCACTGTTCCTGACGGAAGCAGGCAGAGAGGAGAAAGACTCTTGCTTGTTCCCTCACTATCTTGGCAGCCCCCCCCACCATGGGTTCACCAGCGTTGCCCCAACCTTTCCGGGGTAACCGGATGATGGCTGAAGTCCAGCCGGGAGATGAGGCGGGCAGCTGGGCTGGGGGACTGATGTCCCGCCCCAGCCCAGTATGCTGCTGTCTGCTGGCCCCATTCCGTTTCTCAGCAGCCCCAGGTGGTCAAGAGCTCCCCTGGGAAAGTATGCAGAACCGGGAGCCCCTTCCCAGACATCTTTTGGCCACGGGAGGTCACTGGGAGCTTGGAGGACAGAGGATTTACACGGGAGCCCAGGCCCCGGACTTCCCAGGACGATCTGAGCGGCGCTGGGGGCTTCTTCGGGCCAGAGACTGCTTCTTACCTGCACGACAGGACACTGGCCAGTATAGACACACCCATAGCTTTTTGCTCTGCCTTCTCTGGGCTTAGGCCTTTGCTCTTCTCTGGGCTCATCTGGCTCCTGGGACTTCACTACACTCTTGTGCAGGCAGATGCCATCTCCCCCGCCCCCCTCCCCGGGAGGTGCCTTCTCTCCTGCCTCCCTCCCCTGGGCAGTCTGTGGTCCCGAGCCTTAGGAGGGATTCGCTTAGGTCTGGGTGCAGAGGGGTCTTGGGGCCCTAGGGTAGGAGATTTGGAGCTGCGCCAGTGTGTGATCAGAGCAAAGTCTGTAGTGGAAACGCGGACCTGGCAGCTTCCCTGAGAGAATGCTGGGCCAGCTCCTTTGAAGAAGCTCTGGGGAGTTTACCCCACTGTAAGCACCGAGGGGAAAGGAAGAGACATCCCCGGAGGCACAGGAAGGGGCGGCTGGCTGGCCAATCGACAGAGGTCACTGGTGCCGACAAGCTGGGGGTGAGGGTGGGGGCGGCGAGTGGGGGCATCTAGAACCTTGGGAGCCCCATGTGATCTGCCACAAGAGGCAGCTGGGGGCAGGGAGGACCAAGAGCTGCCCTTGCAGCCAGCAGGTCCTGAGTTTGAATCCTGCCCCCAACACTTACTAACACAGTCCCTGGCACATTCTTTAATAAATAGGTGCAGTGATCACCAAACACGTCTTGACTTGACTCCTGCTTATTTCATCTCTCTCAGCCTCGACTTCCTCATCTGTAAAATGGGGCTACTAACAGTACAACCCTCCCACAGTCGTGGTGAGGATCAGATGAGAATAGACATGAAGCCAAGAACTATCATACGTGAGGGCTCCAACTGTTGTGAAGGGAGGTGGGAGAAAGGGGCAAAGAGAGGAGGGAGGGTCCCCGGGCTCAGGGCACTCACCGGAAGCGGCACAAGATGACCATGGCCGTGGTGAGGGAGACCAGGGAGGTGCTGTAGCCCACGGTGTAGAGCGCCTTCACTGACAGGTAGTAGTAATCCTAGACACACACACAGAGGCTCAGCTGGGCATACCTGCCCCCTTCCCGGTCTGTCTGCATTCTGGGCTTCCCTCCCTTAGCAGCTTCCTTCTCAGAGCAGCAGGGGGGCTTGGCATGCACTCAGTCTGGGGCTCCCCTTCACCCTCCTCCCCAAAGAGGACCCCACACAGCAGTGGGTAGGCAGCACCGGGGCAGCAGGGGCACCCTCTCTCTGCCAGTCTTCTACCACTCAGCCCTCTGAGCCAGGTAGGAGGATGCTCCCTATACTCTGAGGTGGGGCTGTGGGTTCTCCAGAGGGAGAAGAGCTGCAGACCGACTCTACCAGTGGCCATTAATTCAGGCATTGCCCATTAGCCCTGCAGATAGGAAGGTCATTAGCCACCAAATGATGCCATTCACTGATTGGGCAAGGGGTGTGTGTGTGTGTGTGTGTGTGTGTGTGTGAGAGAGAGAGAGAGAGAGAGAGAGAGAGAGAGAGAGAGAGAGAGAGAGAGAATAGGAAGGGGGAGAGAGAGGGAGAGAGGGAGAAGGAGAGAGAGAACTGGCCTGTCCTTCGTGGTTGGTGGCCAGAGAGGTGCCCACTACTGGAACCTGGAGAGTTCCACCTACCTGATTCCCACCCCCCTCAAGATAATCATTATCGAATCCGCAAGCATCAAAATAGTGGGGGAAGGGCTCGGACCATCCATCCTCAGTGCAGTTCCTGCTCACAACCCCGGTGTCTGAAGGTAAGAAGACAATGACAAGGATTAAAGAGGTCAGAGGTCTTCGGAATTGCCTGGCAGGAATGCTGAGGTGTAATCAGCCCCACCCAGCTTTGTCCCTGGCCTTCTGGGTGACCATGGGCCCTAAGGGTCACTGCCTGCCTCAGCCTCAGTTTCCTTCTCTTTGAAATGAATAACTTGGCCTGGATGAGCTGATAGCACCCTCATTTCTAGAATGCTGACTCTCCTATTGTTGAGGTTACCTGAATGGAAGCCCTTGAAGACCAGAGGGAAAGACTCATCTCCATCCTTAGACCCAAGCCTGTGATAGAGTCAAGGGGAGCCAGGAGCCAGAGCCAGACCCCGGTCTGCATACTTTTCTCCTCAGCCCACATTAAGCCGTGACCCTGGTACGCTTTTAGGATCTGCCTTCCAATAGCTTCATTTCACATATTCCAGTGGCTTATTTGGGGTGGTTAAAAAATGCGTGTGCTTGGGGGCAGCGAGGTGGCGCAGCAGATAGAGCACTGGCCCTGGATTCAGGAGGACCTGAGTTCAAATCCATCTGTAGACACTTGATACTCACTAGCTGTGTGACCCTGGGTAAGTCACTTAACCCCATTGCCCAGCATTCCCCCAATGCATGTGCTTTTCACTCTCGCATTTCTGAGGTGAGTATGGGTATCCCTCATGGGGATCCATTGGGGGTACCCTGCCTGCCTGCATCCCATATGCGTGTGTGCTCATATGTCTCGTCCTTCCTTTCAGCTCATCTGACGACACCTCCAGGACATCCATGATTTGTCCCGAGCCATGCCTCTGATGATGCCTCAGTTTCTCCCCTTGTAGAATTGCTTGTCTGACACACAGGCCCCACTCCAGGTTTTGCCTCAGCTGCTCATTCGGGCTCTGGGCACTTACAGACTTATTCTTACCACAACCTGCTTGAAGGTCACAGCCATCTGTTTCTGTTCAGTTTCCAAGGACAAGAAGGTAAAGAAGGACCTATCCCTTCTCGTCTTGATGGCCCCATCAAGCACCAGCAGAGACCCCTTCCTCCCTAGGCTGTTCCTCGCCCTCAGCAGCTGGGCACACCACCCTTCCAGATGCCGCCCAGGCAACGTCTCCTCCGGGAAGCCTTCTCTGATCTCCCCACCTGAAGTCCTCTCTCCCCGCTCAGACTTCTCACAGTGTCTGGTCTGGGCCAGCCCTTCATACCCGTCCTGCTCTTCCCTGTGTGTCCAGGGCTCCCCCGTCAGCCTACACACACCTTGAAGACAGTGGTTGTTTGCTCTTTGGTCTTGGTATAATTAGAGCTGGCATTTATACAGGACGCTAAGATTTTACCTATTTCATTTGAGCCTCAAATCAACCTGTGGGTCTGGGGCTGTGATTGTGCCCATTTACAGATGGGGAAGTTGAGGCTGAGAGGGGAAGTAATTTGCCTAGGGCCACCCAGATAGTGAGTATCAGAAGCAGGACTTGCACTCAGTTCTTCTCGGCTCCAAGCCCAGTGCTTCAGCCAGTGTGCCCTCCCTCCAGCTTGCTCTGGTCTCCTCAGGCTTTGACCTCCTGAAACAGATTGTACTGAGTTGGCAGCCACAAGTTTCTCCATCTCTAAAATGAGGGCATTGGCTGTCCACTGGATGGTGTCCAAAGTCTGTGAACCCAGGAGCGGGAAGCTTTGTACATAGTGGGGCCTCCTGACAATTCCATCTGCCCAAGGGTGGGCTGGGGCCTTCACGAGGTGATGGAGGGCTTCCAGCAAAGGCTAGATGATTACTTCTAGTGTGCAGAGAAAGGTCAGACTAGTGGCCTCGAACCCCTTCTAACTCTGAGATTCTGAGAAATCCAGTCCTGGGGGACTTAAAGCTTCTGAACCCAAACATAACACAAGATTCCTGACCATAGACAAGTGGCTCCTGGGACCTCAGGAGAGGCTTCCTTCCCTAGGGCCATTCAACAGGGAGTGAGCTTCTCTTTTGTCCAGGGACCCTCAGGCTTCAGCTACTGGGTATGTGGAGCCAAGAGACAGGAGATGGAAGACTTGGGGGGAGAGAGGGCTGCTGAGGCCCTGAAACCTCCCCTTCCCAGCGAGGCCATGGAGCCCATCCCCCAATCCAGAGCCCCACTGCCAGTAGCTCTTCCCTTCCACCAGGAAAGTGTCCCCATCAACCTGTGAGCCAGCTCTGTCTCTGCAGGCGAGTCTCCCCTGAAGAAATAGCCTTAGCTATAAACCAGATACCGGAGCCGGGCTGGGTAGGGCAGGGCAGGGCAGGCTGAGGGCTTTGCCCCAGAATCGCTGTCCTCATTCTGAGCCCCTTCAGGCCCTTAAGCATCTCTCTACAGGTCAGTAAGCACTTGACCCAGTAGCTTGGGAAGCAGGATGTGGAGGGAGGAGATTGGCCAGAGAAGGCTTTACACAGTGCCAGACCGCTACTGGGGATGCAAAAGCAGAAAGCAAGCAGCCCCAGCCCTCGGGGAGAGTCTTGATCTAGGATTCCACTCGCAGGACTTAATCTTTGGGGTTCTTTAAGAAAATCTAACCCAAGATGTTTGTGGTGCTTAATATGTTTGTTGAATTGACTGACATTATGATAAAAAGCCAGTATTAGGCTGGTTGGAAGGGCAAATGGTTGAAGGAGCTTTGTGAGGAAGATGGTGCCTCATCTGAACCTCCAAGGGAGACTGGCCTCCAGAGATGGGGAGGTGAACAGGAGCCTTCCAGACACCAGAGACAGCCTGTGTGAGGGGGATGGAAAGTGGGATGTGGAATTTTAGGAACGGCCAAAAGGTCAGTGTGGCTGAACACAGAGTGTGAAAAGGGGAGTGTTTATTAAGTCTAGAAAAATAGGTTAGAGCCTTGAGCGCCAGGCTGAGAAGTTTGCATTTTGTCCTCAGGCTAAAAGGATGGAGTGAAGGGTTTTGGGGAGGGGAGTGGCTTAGTCAGACCTGTGGCATAGGAAGATCACGTGAGCAACTTAGATGTGTGCGTGTGGTCTTCCCTGATGGATTGAAAGCTCCCTGAGGGCAGGGATGGTTCATTTTGTCTTTTCGTCCAGTGCTGAGCACAGTGCCTGGCACACAGTAGCTGCCTCAGAAATGCTTGCTGGTTGACTGGTTGATGGAAGGATGAATTGGAGAGGGGAGGGAAGCCAATTAAGAGGTCATTGCAAAGTTCAGGTGAGAGGTGATGAGGAAGGGCTGAGGGATGGATCAATTACCCAGATACTTCGTGTGTGACCACATTGGCAGAAGGCCATGGTGGATGGAGGATGTGGCCACCGGACCCGCAGAGCTGGCAGGAAGGGACTGGAGAGGTGCCATGGTGCCACAGAGGCCAGGAGACCTTTAGCCAGCACAAATGTAACTGAGTGGCCCCCGGGGTCTCCCTGCCAGCGCTCAGGGAGGCTGTGAACACTCCTACTTACCTGAAGTGTCTAGGGCTTCATTGTCTTCTAAGTCAAATCCTCCTGCAAGACAAGGACGAGATGCATGGTTAGAACCCAGCAGCCTGTTCCCCCGCTCCTGTCTCTCCTTTACTTCTTGGAAGGACTCCCACTCAGTCCCATGTACATGTCCTGCTCTCTGTCCCAACTTTGGCATCTTCTGCTCATTCCTGGGGGGGCGGGGGTTCCCCTGCTCTGTGGACCACGCACAACTTCCTCTGACGTGGTCCGGGGAGGTGCTGGGCCCCCCCTCCCCGGAGGTCATCCAGGAAAGGCTGCCTGGCCACTGGCTGGGAAGGCTGGTGGATTGGACTAGTGGCCCCTGAGCTCTCATCAGGTCCTGAAATTTTATGACTGTATCTTGTTGGGTGCCTGGGAAGAGCTTTGAAGTGGAGAGTGGGTGAATGTGGATGCGTGGATGACAGGGTGCACAAAGAGAAGGGGGGGGCACAATTGGCTACCTAAGTCGGGTGGGTGGGCTCTGCTTGGTGGCCACGGACAGGTGAGAACTGACTACCAGGGCTGGCCAAAGAAGGGAGTTACTCCTTTCACCTGGAATGCCCCCACCTGCTTGGATTTTCTAATGCTCTCCTTTGGCAGAGCAGTCAGATGGCTGAGCTTGGAGTTGGGAAATGCCTGGGCTTAATCATGGCTCTGGCACTCACTATCAGAGAAGCCATTTCTGAGCCTCAGTTTCCCCAAATGGGAATAATTCTATATCCTGGACCTATCTCAGAGCTTTCATGAGCATGGAATGAGAACATGGATGTGAAGTGTTTGAGGACCTGAAAGTGTTCCCAAGTGTCAGCAGCTGGGCTTATCATTCAAGGCCCAGCTCAAATTCACCTACCTCTTCCAGGAAGCCTTCCCCACTGCTCCCAGCCTCTGGGAGGCCTCTTACCCTCTTCTTCTCCCTTCCTTCCTGGTGACTGTCTGAGCCACAACTGGGTCCTTCTTGTTGTCTGACATCTGCTGAGATTTCATGGTCCTCCTGTACTTGGGCCCTTATCTATCCTGGCATATTTGGGTTTCGTCTTCTAAGACCCGGAAGGCTGCCTTGTCCCCTCACTGTTCTGTGTCTGTGACTCTTTTCTCCCCATCTAGACCGAGCGCCCGGACTGACTGCAGCTTTGGAAACCTACGAAGGATAACTGCTGGGAGCTCACAGCCCCGGGAGTGCCTGACACGTGGCCTCTCCCTGGGCAGAAAAATGATCATCACAAACCTCTCAAATTTCCAGCCAGGATCATTTAAATTAGACAGAAGTCTCAGTGTTTTCAGAGAGGGCAATTCTGTTTCTTTCCAACATATACCATGACTCATACTAAGTAATTGTTGCCAAGTACAGTACTGTGGGGACCTGCTTGAGGGAAACAGTTGGACTCTCACGTAATTAGCCTATTAGCGGTTTAGGTGCCAACAGGTGCAGAGAAAGTTTGTAGGAGCATTTTGCTCCATTAAAGGCCTCTTGCAGTCTTACATTATTTATTATCAAATTCCTTCTTGGGTCCTGCACAGAACAGAAGTCCAATAATGTTTGTCACATTAATTAAAAGACCACAAGAAGAAAGCTTTCCTAAAGCTATTAATCTTCTCAATCTATTTATCTGCTGATTCTCTGGGGTTTTCTAAGTGGTCTGTGCTTAGGGGTAATGTTGCTTCTCACCAATGTCCGTCCCTTCCATGTCTTTCCCTTGCTTATTGATAATGTTAGCATTTCTAGGACCACACCAAATCCAAGTGGGGAGAATCACAGGACAGCTTTACTTGGTCCCCCTTAGGATGACTTGGAATGATGGGAATCCTGAATGAGGGGAGTGTGAATAGATGAGATGCTTCTGGGTTTGCGCTTCTGCAAACAGGTCTGGGGTCACTTAATATGGGAGCCAGGACTCACACAGGCCCATATGGGTAGTGTCCCCTGTCCAGCAAGCCCCTCACTGCTGGGGAAGGCATGTCCCTGGGTCAGGACAGTGATGGTCACAAGGGGCAGCATCGGACTGGACAGTCAGGGCGTCCTGGGTCTGGAGGAGATCACCAGATGTCCTCACTGAAGAATCCTGCCTGATCTCAGACCAGCTTGGATTGTCTGGGAGCTTCCCAGACAATACCTCTGTCTCCCTTTTCTCCCACCCCTCACAAGCCTGGCCCTGACTCTATCTCTATTCTCTCAGTTTCCCTGTCATCCTGTATGTCCCCTGGAGGCTAGGGAGAGCTGGAGGGCAGAGACCTCCCTAACCTGAGGCAAGCAGGGCCTTGTCTGGTGTCTGACATCTGGTGGGGGCAGGGTGGGGGCTGCTTCCCTCCGGTAGCAGTTTCACTGTCCTCACCCCTGGTGCCTCAGGCCCTGGACTGCTCATTCTCCCATCAAGGCGGTACCAGAGTCAGGCTATCCTCTGCGCTGCCCCCACCTCGGATGTTTTTGCCCCATATGACCCCACCCCCAGCCCTGTGGGAGGGGGTCCCTGGGAAGGATCAGCCCTGGGTTTTCTTTGGCACTCTTGACATTCTCATCTTTAGCAATAACAGAGATAGGCTATGACAAGGGTGAGCAGGCAGGTGTATGTACCTTCATTTAAAATCTGGAAGAGTTCAGGGCAGCCAACCTCCACAACCTGTCCCATGACGGCTGGCCTCCAGCACGTGATGTTGTCCCACATCCAAGGGCAGCCTGTACAGGGAGGGGGATGGGAGGAGAGAGGGCCCAAGATGTGATCAGGCAGGGCTGTTGCCATCCCTGACCCACCCCCGAGGCACGGTGGGTACCTAGCCATCCTACTCTGAAAGGGGCAGCCTGCCCTCAGGGAGCCTCCTCCAAAATGAAGAGCCACTCAGATGCCTGGCGCAGAGCAAGCCAGGGGGCGCACCTGCCAACATCACGGCGGGTGTCGGGTCCCAGGCCCCAGTCCTGGATGCACTCCTTCCTTGCCTCAGCCTTCCTCAGAGGTGACTTCCACTCTGGGCCAGACCTCAGCTGGAATGCCCAGGGTGCTCCAAGGTGTGCAAAGCCCATTCCCTGTGTTATCTCCCTCAGTCCCCCAGCTCTGGAGGCTGGTCCTTATTTACAGACATTACTGCTCTCCTTTTGTGGATGGGGAGGCTGGGGTTCAGAGCAGAAGTGACTTGTCCGGATTCACATGGTGACCGAGGGTCTGGTGGTCAGCGAAAAAGCAGTTAGGAAGCACCTGCTGTGAGCCAGGTTCCCGTGCCAGGTGCTGGGGGCAAGCAGAGCCTGTCCTCAAGGGGCTCTCCATCTAGTGGAGGAGCCATCCCAGAGAGAGAACTAGATGCACAGAAGATGCTCCCATAGAGAGCAGAGGTGACAGATGACCTGAGAGGAGTCTGAGCCGTGGGGGGACCTGAGCAGAGACATGTAGCTGGCTTGTGGGGGTTTTGTGGGGAGGAGAGTCACAAGACAGGTGAGGAGGAAGGACTTTAAGTGACAAGCAGGACCTGGAGCGTTCTGCTACCCACGCTCCTGTGGGAGCCAATGAGGTCTCCGAGGGAGAAAGTACCAAGGGAGGAGAGGAGAGGACTCTGGGGACCACCCTCCAGTGAGTGGGGGTGACCTGGATGATGGAGCCTGAGGAAGAGACCCAGGGAGAGCCACGTGCTGCAGACCGGAGCCAGGGCCCGGACTCAACACGGAAGCCACAAGCAGATGATGGAGCCAGTGTCTGCCCGTGGGGGGCTCGCCCTCTAACTGAGGGAGACGGTGCAGAGGGAAGGCTCAGTGGCAGGCCTGCGTATCCTAAGAGAGCGCTGGGCTGTGTGACCTTGGCTCAGTCCCTTCCCCCCTGGCTGGGACACAGGTTCTTCATTCTGTTCCTCTGTAACAGGTGAAGGGCAGATCTTGCTGTGCTCTCAGTGACCATGTGAGGCAGGTTCTTCTCGTTGAAGAATGCATGCTGTGCTTGTATATCTGGTGCCTAGCACATAGTAGGAGCTTGATAGATGTTTGAGGGGCGGTGGTGGCTGGGTTGCCACAGGGGTCAGGTGGGTACCCGAGCCACACCTGGTATATCTGGGCTGGCTCTTCTCCCCTATGAACGGCTGGATGGCTCCATGGTAAGGCCACTGCCTGGTTTTTGTATTTGTCCTTCTGGTGTCTAGCACAGGGGCTTGATAAATGTTTGAGGGATGCTGGTGGGCCCTCACCGTCTGGGGTCATGTGGGGCCACATGATTGAGGCTGGTTTGGGACAGGACAGGACAGATACAGACAGAGCATGATTTTGTGCGGACCACGGGGGGAACGTGCCCATAGGGACCGTTGTCTTAATTGAGCTGAAGAGTGATCAATTCTTTAAATAGAGGATGCTGTAAAGAATTCCCAGGTACCTGAGGAAAATGATGGATGGTTACAAGAGCTCAGCCTTGGAGCTGTTCCAGCCTCTGGAGTTCCTCAGGTTGTCCTGGGGGCCAGAGATCATAGCCTGGCCTTGACAGCCCCCAACCCCACCAGGAACAGCCTGGGGCAGTCACAAAGGCAGGGAGGCAGCCGCCAGCTCTGGCCCCCTCCCTTTTGGCCTCCGGCAGCCTCCAGCTGGGGCTTTCTCCCTCTCCCCAAGTGCCTGAGCCCTGAGTCTGGGAGGGAAGAGCCCGAGGAGCTCATCTTCCCCTCGCGGGGGAATCTGGTGTCCAGAGAGAATCCTAGAGGGGATCACAGGACCTAGGTCAGCAAGTGGCCTCAGAGGCTATGGAGCAAGGGCCTTCTTAGCTCTTCTACCTCCTGGACCCCTTTGCCTGTCATAGGAAAGCCCTTTCAGAAGAGAGTTTGTAAGTGCACAAAATAAAACACCTAGGATTACAAGGGAAAGGAAATGATTTTGAAATACAGTTCTACATCATAAACACATATGCACACACATGTATTTCACAGACCCTAGGTTGAGAACCATTGATCTAGTCCATTCCTTTTATTTTACAGATAAGGAAACTGAGCCCAGAAAGCTCCAGGTGACTTTCCCAAGGCCTTAGACTTAGGAAGCAGCAGGGCCCAAGCTTCTGAGGCAGGCCCTCTGCATCGTGCTGCTTGGTAGATGGGCAGAAGAAATGGTAGTATTTCAGACAAGGTGGCAGGCCAGGGTGGGTGGTTTGGGGGTGATGATGTAGGTGTCTGTGGGCAGAGGCAGCCCCAGGCCCAACATCCGTCTCCCCACATCCCCCTAAGAAGGAAAGAAGGACTAGCCCACGAGTTTCAATGAGCAATAATATTGTCTTAAGGACATTCAGGGCTTGGACAGAGCCTGCAGGGGCAAGTGGACAGGGCACTGCCCTGGGCATCAGCACTCCTGGACTCTAGTCTCATCCCCGCCCATGTGACCTTGGCCAAGTCCCCTTCTCCTCTCTGGGGCTCAGTTTCCTTATTCGTGCAGTGGGTGGGACTGGCATGTCCCCAAGTCCCCTCCCTGCTGAACATTCTAGGGCTGGCTGCCTCTGCAATGAGTAGGCTGAGCAGGCCAGACCTCTCCCTGGCAGGAGAAGCCCGCCCGCCTACCCCTGCCCACTCCTGGAGGCCTGCCTGCCATGCAGCTAAGGGACATCCTAGGATTGATTCTTCAGTGCGCCTGGTGGCTGGCACCTGAGGGTGCTTTCTGCCAGCCACTCAGGTTGTGGCTGCGGTTGGCTCTAGGCCCTTCTGCCCTTGAGACTCTCCCTGCGTCTGCCCAGACTTCCAGAGCAAGTAGAGAAGAGGAAGGAGAGAACTGCCTGCCCTCCTCCTTGGAGTGGCCCAGCCCATGCCTCTCACTCTACCTTCCCCGTGGCAGCTGTGTACCTGCTGCTGCTTAGAACGAGGTAACAGGCTAATGAGCTCTTGGACATCTGCTGCCCTGGGGAAGCTGGTCAGCCAGCCTGCGGGCTAACAAGGCCCTAATGCAGTCTGAGCCAGCAGGGACAGTGCAGCCCCCCGCCCCCACCCAGGTACTGGGGACGGGCAGCCTCTATTTTAACACGACTGTGAGAAGGGACCCATCGGCTTCCCCATACTCAAGCCAGAGGCATCCACGGTCCCAAAGGTTAGGGACCCCTGGTCTAGACATTACATATATGGATTTCATGAGGGTGTCTGACTCGATGGGAGGGTGTGGGGGCACCTCCTGGGTTCAGAACAATGGGGCCCAAAGGGTCCTGAAGAGCCTTCTATCCTTAGCCCCATTGGGATCACCATTTTTATCAGTGATTTGGGTGAAAACATAGATGGCATCTTTTTAAAATGGGTGGATGCAGGCAGCGCAGCTGGGGCAGGTTTTGTGGCATGACAGAATTTGGATCTCCCAGTTCTGAACAAATCTAGTAAGACAAGAGGGATAGAATCGCATCCTCCATGGGATGGGGCTAGGGTGTCAGCAGCTCCTTCCTGCTGCCTGCAAACATACCATTGTGTCCTCCATCCTCGAGCCCCACTGTCCCTTCTGCCCCACCCAGATGTCTCCCCTTCCCCAGTCAAACTCTCAGGAAAGTTGCTGACTCTCACAGTGTTCACTTCCTCCTCTCCCACCCATTTTCCAAGGTGGTTCCCATCCCTCTCTTTATGTCCAATTCATGGTGCCTTTTCTCAGCTCTCCCGCCAACCTCTAACCCCTCCTGTCTCATCTCTTCTTCTCCATCCCTAGGTCACCCATAGTCCATCACCAGCTGGCCCCTTACGCTGCTCTTTCCCATTCACAGTCCTTTACTAAGCTCCTAGGATGGTGGACTCTAAGTGGGGCTCTGGGAATATAACAACAAAGAAACTGTGCCTGCCCTCGGAGAGCTTACATTCTCCTGGGGGATGCATCATGTGTCCAAATAGAGAGATACAAAGCACATGCCCTCTCTCGCCTTGCACCATCACCCCCATAGACTCCCAGCCTGCCATCCAATCATCTTACATAAAGGGTGTCTTTCTCTGCCTCCAACAACAGTTTGGGTGCCGCCTCTTCCATCAAGCCTTCCTGGATCCTCCCTGTCCTCCCCCCACACTGCTCCTTGAATCTCTCAGGCCATTCTGCCAGGCTTTTGGAATGTCCTCTATCTCTTTCAAGTTCGGATTTTGTTCAAATTTGTGTGCCATCATGTCCATGTCAGACACTGGTTCAGCAACCACAGCGAGGCCTTGCTCTGGGAGGCCCCTCCCTGTGCAAATTAGATAATCACGTTGGCAAACTTGAAAGGGCTAAAGGGATGCCAGTGGTGGTGGTGGTGGTTATTATTATCTTTATTATCATTCTTGTTCTGCTCACATTCGCTGTCAGTGAAAACAGGAAACAGGAGTCCCACGCCCCTGGAAATATGGCGCTGTGGAGAGTCAGACAAGGAGATGGCTGGATGTCCAAAGGGACAAGAGCGGTCACTTTATGGGCCACTCAATCACCATGCCTGGCCAAGCTTAGGGAGAGTCTGCCGGGAGGGCTTTTCCCAGTCCTGATGGAGAGAATGAAGAGCCAAGGAAAGGAGGACTGATCCTTTTTGGCTTCCAGACACCAGTGGACATGGGACAGGACAGCAAAGCCCCTGCTGGCAAATGTGGGGCAGAGTGAGGAAAGAAGAGGCCAAAGGCTGAATGTTTATGGATGGCTCAAAAACCTTCGGAGGCAGCCAGCATGGAGTCAGGAAGGCCTCAGGCACTTACTGGCTGTGTGACCCTGGGCAAGTCACTTAGCTCTGTTTGCCTCAGTTTCTTTAACTG